CTATAAATATAAATAAACAAATATAAATAAATATAAATAAATATAAATAAACAAATAAAAACAAATAAATAAAAATAAATAAAATAAATAAATAAAAATAAATAAATAAATAAATAAATAAATTACCTTCTGTTGATGCGTTTAGGTTGAATTGTTCCTTTAGGGGGGTTATAAATACAGAAATAAAGAGACAAACACAAACATAAATAAATAAAAATAAATAAATAAAATAAATAAATAAATAAAATAAAATAAATAAATAAAAATAAATAAAATAAATAAATAAATTACCTTCTGTTGTTGCGTTTAGGTTGAATTGTTCCTTTAGGGGGGTTAGGATAGCGGGCACCACACCACAATCAAAATTAATAAACAGCTGCAGCAAGAGAAACAAAATAAAAACAAATAATAAAGAAGAAGGAGAGGGAGGAGGAGACAGAGAAGCAGCAGCAGCAGCAGCAGCAGGAGCTGCAGCAGCAGCAGCAGGAGCAGCAGCAGCAGAAACAACTGAAAAAAAAGATGCTGATCGCTCTTTGCTGCTGTCTTTTGCTGCATATACACCTGAACATCCTGCTGCTGCTGCTGCTGCTGCTGCTGCTGCTGCTGTTGGTTGTGCTGCTGCTGCTGCTGCTGCTGCTGCTGCTGCATCTCCTTCAATGACTATCTGCTGCAGTTCGCCCGCTGTTGCTGCTGCTGCTGCTGCTGCAGTTGCTGCTGTTGCTGCTGTTGCTGCTGCTTCTTCTTCTTCTGTTGTTGCTGTTGCTGCTGTTGCTGCTGTTGCTGCTGAACATGGTGTTGCTGGTGGAGTCGCAACAAAATCTGCTGCTGCTGCTGCTGCTGCTGCTGCCAGCTGCTGCTGCTGCAGCTGGTGCAGCTGCTGCTGCTGTTGCTGCTGCAGTGGTTTTCTGCCTGCTGTCTCCTTCGGGTGTATCTGCAGCTCCTCTGTCTTGGGGGCTGCTGCAGCAGCTGCAGCAGATGGAGACAAACTGCTGTTCTGCTGCTGCTGCCGTCTCCTAGACTGCTTCTTCTTCTTGCTGCTGCTGCTGCTGGTTCGGAGTTTGTATGGCCCATGGTTGTCGTTTGCATGCAGTACTATGCTAAGA